GTAATGTTTGTGTCGTGTGATGATTTGAATTACCTTATCTTGTACTATTAAAATAATGATGCAGGTGTAGGGCGTATGACGATATGATATATCGAATAAAATCAAATAAAATCGATAATTAGATATGACGCGCGAGGCGAGCGAGTCGGCGAAGAGCCAGAAAAACAATTTCGTAAACAGTGCGATTGAGCGATGTCAGCACGATTGTCTAATTATCGCGTTTTCGCAAAATTATTTGGATTCTCACGAAAATTACATTTATCATGTCACTCTGGAGGAGCTCGATGGCGCTGGTGGTTAGCGCGTTCGGCTGCGATCGTTGAAGTCACTAAGCGCGTTCTATCGTCTGTACCACGGCGAGTGTTCTGAGGAGTTATTCTCTCTTATCCAACCTTTCCCTTTCCTTCAGAGGACCACGCGCGCTGGCCTACGTTGTCACCGTCTTACTGTGGCCACAATTCCAACACGTACAAAGAAATTTGGTGACTCATTTCTTTGTCGCACTATCCGTAAATGGAATGCTCTGCCCGCTCACGTGTTCCCTCCCTCTCACAACCTGGGATCCTTTAAAAGAGGCGTGAAGAAGCAACATGCAGGCCGGCAGGGTGAGGATGGCTGGTGTGGCAGGTAGAACTGCTGTATCAGCTATCTTCGCGTCTGGACTTCACCTTCACTTAACATCAGGTGCGGGGTGGATTCATTTGTCGGACCTATCTGTAAAAAAAAAATATTTAACTAGAAAAAAATCCACGCGGACCAGGCAGCAGACGGGACTCGAACCCGCACCCTTCGCTATCCAGGCGAATGCATTGACCAATTATGCTACCGCGGCCCTGGAGGCCGCATCCAAATTCTTCTAGCCATTCTTGAACTGCAAGGCAGCGCCATCTTTTCGCATTGTAGGTAACCCACAATCATAGTTATTTCTTAATTTAAACGCACGTTCGTGATGTTTCTGCAAATCAATTTTAAGAAGTCAATCAATCACTCAATCCATCAATCTTTTTCTGCGTTGTACAGTCATAGCTTCAATGGAGATCACCTTGTTCTCCGAAATATAATTCTTATTGCTTATTATTATAAGAGATCACAATACTTAAAATTGTTTCAATGTAACACCCATAATCACAGTGTATTAGTAGAATTCTAAAAACCCTAGGTTAGTAATTACCGTTTTTGTCTTTTATTTGATGTTTATTTTTATTTTTTGTTTCGAAACAAATTATAAAGAACAAAAACCAAATAATTATTCGTCCCGTCCGCTGCCTGGTCCGCGTGGATTTTTTTTCTAGTAAACTTTTCTTTAGATTTAAACATCTAGCAGTTAAATGCTTAAAAAATAAATAAAATCACAAATAATTATTGTTCCTACCATCGAGTCTTCCTTGTACCTTTGACGACCTCCGTGGCCGAGTGGTTTGTACGCCGGGTTTCATGGTGTTGCCGACTCGAGAGGTCCCGGGTCCGAATCCCGGTGGAGACAGATGTTTGTGTGATGAATATGAGCATTTGTACTCCAGTCATGGATGTTTAATATGTATTTCTATATAAATATACTTATATATGTACAGTATATGCATTCTTTCCGTTACTCTAGCATCCCATAACATAAGCCTTACAGTGCTTACTTTGGGGCTAGGCTTATTGGTGTGAGTGTTGGAAATATTTATTTATATTTATTTACTAGCGGTCCGCCCTCGCTTCGCTTCGGTGTAGAGCTGAAGTATAGACTACAGTTTTTGTTGTCAGGCTTGTATTATACACAATGACATTCATCTATGATTCTTCTTATACCTGCATGCAAAGTCTCAGCCCGATCGGTTTAAAATTGACAAAGTTTCATACAAACTTTCATTCCCTATTTTATCCCCTTGGGGTAGAATTGATCAAAGTCCTTTCTTAGCGGATGCCTACGTCATAACATCTACCTGCATGCCAAATTTCAGCCCGATCCGTCCAGTAGTTTGGGCTGTGTGTTGATAAATCACTATGTCATTCAGTCACCTTTGACTTTTATATACATATATAGATAATAACGGTCATTTTTATTACCTGTATTTATAACCAAACTAAAATTCTCATATTTCCGTTTTCCAGTACTCATTTTCTACACGTTTTACATGATTTATTTGCTAATTTTGTTTACAAATGTTTGGTTTTTATTCTAAGATAAGCACGGTTTCTCAATATCAATTATTGTCTGTCAATAAGGTCGAACGCTCTGAACGAATATTGAATGAAGCTCGCTTTCTTTTTTTTTTGTTTCCTCCCAGGCGGGGGAGCGGGTGTGAAATCCTCATGGATACCCTACAGCCGGCTGTAGAGTTATGTCAGACTCTTACTGACTAAAACACACCCGTGGGGGGTGCCTATGGCCTTAGGGGCCTTACAGGCTTCATCTGATGCGATCAACTCCTGAGAAGGGGATGATGCAGCGCTGCCTTAGTAAATACTACTGCATAGTGCGCTTAGAGGACGGATGCACCCTGATGTATCGGTTTGGGACTGAGCGACTGAAGGTCTCTCAGGATCGGGGGGGGGGGGGGGGGGAAGCTCGCTTTCGGACCTCCCGCCTTTTTATACCCTACCGCGCCGCCACGACCCGTGTCGAGCGCGGCAGCCGTTACACAAAAATAATCCTTAAAGCATGATTCAGTATTCACGTGCGACGGCGCGATGGCTTATTTCATGTATAAGTTTGGTGTTTCTATACCGATTTCTATGATTCTTTTTTTATTGAATAGGTAATAATGTTAACTTTTTTAAATTAGGGATGAGTGAGAGTATTATAAACGTAAGAGTAAACAAATATAATCAGATTGCTCCGAACTGCTAAGCTATCAGGAGTTACACGTGTTATTGTGAGTCAACCATAAAAGATAGACATATGCTGTTGCGCAATATTTTTTAGACAATTTTATGTAGAATATTTCCGTCATACATGATTTCTATGCAACTTTAACCATTAAGGCTCCACACGCGACGGAAGCTTAAAAAATGGAGTAACTTCTCCCGTTTTCCCAACATTTCCCTTCACTACTCTGCTCCTATTGATTGTAGCGTGATGAAAAGTATACTATAACCTGCCCAGGAGTATGAAGAATAATTGTACCAAGTTTCGTTAAAATCCGTCGAGTAGTTTTTGTTTCTATAAGGAACAAACACACAGACAGACAGACAGACAGACAAAAAATTTACTGATTGCATTTTTGGCATCAGTATCGATCACTGATCACCCCCTGATAGTTATTTTAAAAATATATTTCATGTACAGAATTGACATCTCTACAGATTTATTATAAGTATATAGATAGATTACCTTTTCAAAACCAAACTACTGTCAACATTTTGCAAGAAAATGCAATAGCTTTACTTACCCCGAAATAAGGCTTATGTTAAGGTATATTAGAGTAACTCATAGAATACATATAGATAGATAAAGATATATTTAAAAAAATATGTATACTTTTAGAAAAATCTATCAGTCCACGTAACATTTTAAGTTATGGCCGATGTGATTTTGACGGTTTCTAGCGAAAAATTACATTGAGTGAAAAGATTTATCGCAGTTTTGGAGTTGTACCCTACACACTAACCAATATCGAATTCGTATCGTTTGCGAGTACGACATTTTCAAACGTGTACTGATTTTCAGTTATCGTAACGTACGTTTATGGCGCTAATGTTCAAGTTTTCATACAAAATTTGACAATGCAATTTCGGACTCGCACACTATTCAAAATCGATAATGGTTCGTGCTAAGGGTAACTACTTATAAACCATCTTTTCCGTGTGTTTAAAAAAGAAATATAAAAAAGAAAATATAACTAGAAAAAAATCCACGCGGACCAGGCAGCAGACGGGACTCGAACCCGCACCCTTTGCAATCCGGGCGAATGCACTGACCAATTATGCTACCGCGGCCCTCACGGACCGCGTCGAAATTCTTCTAGCCATTCTTAAGCTGTAAGGCAGCGCCATCTCTTCGCATTATAGATAACCCACAATAATTGTAACCTAACTAAATTACATTTTTGCTACAGACCGTAGAAACCTAGATCACAAGTCCACGAATTAGGTACAAATATGTTCGTATTCATTATGCTAACATTTGCCTCACCGGTATTCGCAGGCGACACCTTCAAAGCCGGCGTACATACCACTCGCGCCACGGAGTTCAATTCAAAATTCAATATCGTTTATTCAGTCTAGGCTGTTACAAGCACTTGTGAATGTCGAAAAGCTGGTTCGCAAATCTACGGCGGGAGACCTTGTACTGAGAAGAACCGGTAAGAAACTCGGCAAGGGCTGTTTTTTTCTCCCTGTATTGTATACAGAGTCGTCAAATTGAAAAATTACTTCAATATGAGGTAACTCATAAAGTCACTTTCCATTACAAATGCAAATAATATAAAAATTATGACCATATAAAAAACTGGTTTAACAAAGTTTAGGAATGCCGTGTCCTGCTGTTTAGGCAAAAAAAATTTAACGATTAAAGTTTAGTACAACGATTAATAGTATCCAATGAAGCAAGAACAGACTCATCTCCGCTGGCAGCACCCGTTCACGAGCATGACGCATGAACCAGCCATCGCTTCGCTCAACCATTTTTTAGGGAACGCAACGACCCGCCTCACACGACACCACCGAAGAGATTTATTTATAAGAGAGCATGACTACTCATTACCACACATGGATACTATGTTACAAAAATAGAAAAAAATATAAGTACCAGTGTACCTACATTATTATTATAACAAACCACATTATTATAATAAACTATAAACATAACGGCAGGACACATGCATTTGATTACCCAAACACTGTTGTCGATTCTGGCACTACTCTCCCAACCCAAAACCAAATCCAACATCAGTCCCCCCTTTTCAGTCTGTATAGAGAATGACAAGGATACACCGCTGCAAATTTTGAATCACTCGTCTTGCGTCGAACGCTCGATTTCTACTAAATTTCATTCGACATAATTAATTCCGTATTTTTGAATCGCTCGAGTGCAACGAATGGGTGAGACCACTCGCTGCATGGCGAACAGTGGAGGCGAATGACAGAATAATTGTCAAATTTTTTGTGCTATTAAACGACGATAATCTATCATTGTCATGCTTTATAAGCGAGAATTTTTTGTTCGTTTTTCATTGCGTTAATTATCGGTTTTTATTTTTTCTGCGTGAAATTAGTATAATTTCATATTTCGTATTAAACAGGTAGCACTGGTGACGAATGATTCAAAAATACGGAAAAACAGAATCATGCGACTTGAAAGTCGAAGGTGACTTATGTCGCATTCGACGATGCTATGTCAGACGAGTGATTCAAAAACAGAGCTCCAGGTCTAGAAAACCATATCAGAATCCATACAGAACGCAGTTCGTCAAAATGTTTCAACTTTAAACTACTAATGGCTAAAGCTTTGGTTAGAAGCCTTGAGGCTTGAGTTTGACTCAGTGTTTGTTAGCGAGAGGGCAAGAGCGGCCGTGTCTCGAAAGCCTCTCGGAAAATCTCTCTCACGGTTACAATGATCGGCTTGGAGACGTGCTAATTGTAGTCTCTGTGGTAAATTACCGGTTGCATTGAAATCATTGTGTTGTTTTAATTGGTGGACTGTAATTGTGAATAAAAGGTGAGTTCTTTGAGCTGTTATTTCCCTATTTTCCTTACATTGCATTATAAAGGACAGTTTAAATTTAGAATTAGCTACCTATCTTATTTACAACTTTCTTTCAATGGGATGTAATTTGAAATTCATTCAGGGTCGTAGCTCAGGGGGGGATTATGGGGCCAATGCCTTACCAAATACCATATGATTGAACTATTTCAAGTTGGGGCGGTGCAAATCTTCCTGGCATCATCAGCCTATTAATGTCCCCACTGCTGAGGCACAGGCATTCCCTATGGAAGGAATAGGGAGATTGGGCCATGACCACCACGCGGGCCCAGTGCGGATAGGCGGGTGCTAACGACTGCAGATGCAGCCGGCTTTACGTGCCTTCCCAAGCACGGAGGAGCTCGAGATAGTAAATTTTTGGTCACCCATGCAATGACCGACCACTGCGAAAGTTGCTTAACCTCAACGATCGTAGCCGATCTCGCTAACCACTTGAGCCATCAAGCTTCTCGATGTATAGTGCCTGTAATTACTGCTGCTCTATCTTAAATTATAACTTTGGCTACGGCCTTTGCTTTCGACATAGAGAAGAAAAATTTGGAGCATGCGGCTGGGGAAGTAATCTCCCCCTTACAGAAGACCACAGTAAAATAACACTCTCTTTTGGTGGCGTTGCGTTTCTGTCTCCACGGGGTAGGGGATTAAATGATAATAATAAATAATAAATATTGCCAACACTCACACCAATTAGCCTAGCCCCAAAGTAAGCACTGTAAGGCTTGTGCTATAGGATGCTAGGGTAATGGATAGAATACCTATATAAGTATATTTTAAATAAGTATACATAATAAACATCGAGTACAAATGCTCGTATTCATCACACAAACATCTGCCCCCACCGGGATTCGAACTCGGGAACTCTCGAGTCGGCGACACCATGAAACCTGGCGTACAAACCACTCGGCCACGGAGGTCGTCAAATCGAGTCGATGCTCGATTGGGGCAAGGTAAGCAACAAGCTAAGGCAGTGCCGTCTTTGACCTATTGGAGGCCCTTGACATAGTAGGATAATGGGGCCCCTATGAACTAGGGACTTTGTATTTGATCTGAAGGGGGCCCCTATTGATCGCGGGGCCCTGGGCACTTGCCTAAAGTGCCCACTGGGAAAGACGGGTCTGAGCAAAGGTCTATGGTGGCTGCTTAGCATCAGGCGGGCCATATGCTTGTTTACCATAGTTTAAAATTCAACAGCGAGATTTGTAAGGTAGGTGCTTTCGACTGCAGACGCAGTCGATACCAACGGCTTAACATGCCTTCCGAAAACACGAACACGAAATACGAAGAAACTAGGGATTGAGTCATTTTTGGTCACCCATCCCAGGAGCGACCATTCAAATTTTCATAAAACTTACCAATCCGAACGCGCACCACTGCACCATTGATACATGCACATTCTACACCGAAGCGAAGTGAGGGCGGGCCGCTAGTTTATAATAAAACTAAAGTTCTTCCCTTTCCAGTACTCATTTTCCATAACGTTTCATATTTATATATTTTCCTTCTTTTGTTTACATATGTTTGGTATTTATTGTAAGATTAGCTCAGTGCTAAAAAAAGTGTTCCAAGATTTTTTTGCAAACCGTACTTTTCAAGCGACATTTGACAGATAGAGGTCAGTGGCTTTCCTATTCTTATTTGAATCGCATAGTAAGCTTGTTTGCAACCCTCTTAACATAAATATATACGTGAACGTAACCTTCGTACGTAGTCTATCTGTCTGCACCTGTCAGGCTTTCGCTGAATTGGCTTCATCTGACGCATCGAATTCTATGAATTTTGATATCAGGGACTTCAATGAACGGCATATAGATAATGAATAGATAAAGAAATCTATCTATCTATATATGTGAAACTCAAAGGTTACTGACTGACTGACATAGTGATCTATTAACGCACAGCCCAAACCACTGGACGGATCGGGCTGAAATTTCGCATGCAGGTAGATGTTATGGCGTAGGCATCCGTTAAGAAAGGATTTTGATCAATTCTACCCCTAAAGGGATAAAATAGGGAATGAAAGTTTGTTTCATACAAACTTTCATTCTTGTCAATCAACTTTGTCAATTTTAAACCGATCGGGCTGAGACTTTGCATGCAGGTATAAGAAGAATCATAGATGAATATCATTGTGTATAATACAAGCCTGAGAACAAAAACTGTAGTCTACACTTTAGCTTTACACCGAAGCGAAGCGAGGGCGGGCAGTTACAAACAAGGCTAGGTTAATAGCCTTGAAAACCAGTATACGCTCCAATCCATCATGTTACAAAAAATAAAGCTTATTATGGATTTAAATTAGATTTATAAGTTTTTTCACGCTCACCACTCTTTTAATCAAAGTTTTTCATCGTCAACGAGTTATGTAAAAATAAAATATTCAAAACGGATTTTAAACCTGTTCGAGAAATTGTTTTATTCCGATTTTATTTAAAATGATTTAAAATTTGCATGTTAGTCTAATTTATTTTTTTTATGCAGACGATGTCGCGAGCAAAAGCTAAGGTGAGTTATAAAATAGTTTTACCAGTAGCCTACTGCCATCCATTTTAATGGCGTAATTGACCAAGAACTTATCTAATCTATTAAATGTAATGCCAATTATGGTGCTGTGGTTTTGCATTTGCTTTTGCTTCGGAAACGATTTATTTATACATTTTATCTAAACTCATGTTTTAAAGCCTCATTTAAGAATCTAAAACTGCTCATCAACTGCCATCAACAAAACATCATCCAAATAATGTTGTACTTTTCATAATAACACTCCTTCGCTTTCTTGATCCCTTCTGCGCAAAGAAAAAAGGGTTATTATTATTAAGGGTTATTCATCTCTCTCTATCTATCTCTATCTTTTTGTAAAAGGGTTTACTCATCAGACAATCATAAGTTCAATATTTCGTAAACAGGTTCCTAAATCGAAAAATAGTTTTAGGTATCACTAAGTATGTAATTTAAAAGGACCTATTCATCTCTCTCTATCTATCTCTATCTTTTTGTAAAAGGGTTTACTCATCAGACAATCATAAGTTCAATATTTCGTAAACAGGTTCCTAAATCGAAAAATAGTTTTAGGTATCACTAAGTATGTAATTTAAAAGGACCTATTCAACGATATCCCACACGTTGGGAAAAAATGGTCTCCAGGTTACATGTAGAAAATTTATTCTACCATTTTGTCGGCGTGATTGATATACATATCTCTACAAAATAACAGCTCTCTAGTGCTAATAGTCTCCAAGCAAAACCGGGGACGGACAGACGGACATAACGAAACTATAAGGGTTCCTTGTCAGGACTACGGTACCCTATATAGAAATTTCACGTGTGCTTCACTGTAGTGCTGTTGTAACAGCGCCGAAACTTTTCATGAATGTTACGTTATTAAAATGTACCTGCCTTATTTACGGAATTAAAAGTATCATGTCTCTCAATCCAGCTCATAAACTATGTATATGCGTACCAAATTTCATCCAAATCCATTCAGTAGTTTTTGTATGATCCAGTAACACACATACAAACTTTCACATTTATATTTTTTAATAGATGATTCATATCATGAGTGCAGATTGTATGGAACTGCTTATATAGGGTAGTTAAACATTCATGTGATACTATTGAGGAGCTGGATGGCGCAGGTGGTTAGCGCGTGCGGCTGTGATCGTTAAAGTTAAGCAACTTTCGCAGTGGTCGGTTATTGGATGGGTGACCAAAAAACTTCTATCTCGAGTTCCTCCGTGTTTCGGAAAGCACGTTAAGCCGTTGGTCCCGGCTGCATCTGCAGTCGTTAGCACTCGCCAATCCATACTGGGCCCGCGTGGTGGGTCATGGCCCAAACTCCTTATTCCATCCATGGGGAGGGCCCTATGGATATAGGACTATGCCATAACTGTCTTATTGAAGAAACTGTTTCACTTATTGTAAACTATTGTATGTGAAAATTTCCTTGCATAAATGTTTATATTGAGTCATATAGTGTTTAGTTAAAAGTAACTTACTAATATGTTACTCAAAGCAACTTTCGAAAAACTTCTACCTGTCTATATTTGTTTGGTTCCATTTCACGCTATGTCAATGCCGCCGTCTTATTGTGCAATTGTAATACACGAGAAATACATAGAGACATAGTTAAAAAAAAAGCGAGTGTGCTTATGACCACACGACTGAAGTGAAACTTTTTTAGCTCCAATGATCTGAACATCAGAAACTTAACCTGAAGATTTGTTGATAGAAAAAAAAACACCAATCCGTAACTCCTCCTAACTCACTCCACATTTCTTCTTCCTTTCATTTACAACAAGATTTGTCGCTTCTTTACTAATCTTCACCTTCAGTCTATAATTTTTGTCAAAAGGATGTTTTCCTCTTGGCTCATGGATCTGTCAATACAGGAAACAGAGGACATAATCAGCAATTTGATATTACAGAGATGTAAAATTTACAACGAAGTAAATAAAAATCTAGGTATATCTAATCTAAATATGTATGATTGTAAAAAAAATGTACTTACTTGGTTAAAAACTAAGAACTATAATGATACTGGAAACTTGCTTCAAAATTTGTAATTATCAAACAAGCACACACACACACACACGCATACACCCACACACAAACATAAAAGATATATTGAACACTTTAGACTAAATATACAAAATGTAAAAATCGTTATATATTTGTAACCAATATGGTATTAAGTTTGGAAAAGTTATGGAAGAGCGAGAGTTCCTGACACAGACAAATAAACTTGTCTACTAGGGATTCTCAAATATTGTATCACTAGCATAATATTGATTATAGAAATAAAGTATTTTTGTTTTTTTTTAATCACGCCTGTAAGTTGACTACTTACTTAACTATGGGCGAATTGAAAATTATCACAGGCACACACCCATGCGCGCATACACATACACTCACACACACACATCCACACTCGCAAATACACAGACTCACACTCACATATA